GCCCTCAGCAAATATGCTTTCTTGCTGTTGTTGTTTGCTAATATTCTAGTAACTTTTTCTAGTAATTTTAAACGGAGGCTTAAAGACACGGCCAGATGTTTTGGAAAAACTAGAACATAATAGTCCAGTTGTTCAGGGAGTACAGCCACTTTGGCATTTGAGTTGACCAAAGCCACAAGCATAAACTGCAGATATTTGGAGGTACCCAGCTGGGATGAATACCAAATAGCAATTATAAATTGCTAAGATCCAATTATGTTGATGTGTACTACAAAACAACATTAAAAAAAAATCCCAAAAGGTACTCTAGTTACAGGAATAAAATAAAAAACAAGTCTGCAGTTTCACAGCCATGCCAAATTTTATATAAAGATTTGTTGTACTAACACTCTCAAAAAAGTCAGCAGTAGTCATACCATGAAAATGGTTGCTATGTGTACCAGGAATCTTGGCTTTCTTAGTTTTTAGGATAACTTAGGGTTAGGATTGCTTTTTAAAGCAATAGTTTGAATTATAATAATCACAAAAGCAACACTTCATTTATGTTTAGCAGTACTAGAAATATATATAAGCATATATTCCAGACTGGTATTACCTGCACAAAAAGCAAACAATCAAAATAAAACCATAATAAAAAACCCACAAATACAAATCAAACTAACTCATACACCGAAGTATTCATAACTGAAGTCAGAGGAACCTAACTATTATCATTTATACATTTGCATCTTTCAGAAATCCTTGATAAACTCAAAAAAATAAACCAAGGAAATATGAATAAGAGTCTTATTAACTTGATTTTTTTTAAAAGATCTTTCAGTAAAGAAGAATTGATTTATAGTTTCTTAATCATAATTTGTTCACAGCACTGTATTGAGATATCTTTTGATTAATGTACTAAACTAGGCATCAGAGCCTTCAACGGTTTTGATGAACAGATCTTTTAACCATTTTTTTTGCTGGATCCCAGTTTAAGGAGACTGGAAATTTGAAACTACCAAGAAAATTTCAAGTATATCCAAGTGCCTAGCACCCACTGAAGTCATTCCCTTGTACCTCAATTTCTCCATTTTTAGTGCACAAGCAGTACTGCCTCCTAATCTTGGCAAGAGACCCTCCTTTGATTTAAGTTTCTTCAATCTTATAGTCATGATAGCATTTAGCACAGTGGTCTTCCACTGTTATCCACAATAACACTGTAATAAGGACAAAACCTTCTTTTTTTTGTTATGAAAGGCTTGAGAAATCCTGGAGAAACACTAACTTGCTCTGGCTACAGAATAAAAACAAGAAGGGTACTTCTTCAGATCAAGGATCTACACAGCCCAGTTCCCCACCTTTGACTGATGAGGCAAAACATTCTGATTTATCTTCAGATGAAAGAGATCTTTCGGTAAAGATTTCATTAGAAAATGATACTATGATTTTGATGGTCAACAAAAGTAGATGCTTAGGAAACAAAAAAATACAGTGACAGTACTTTGTCACTAGGCATCTTAGCCTTTTCATCATATCCATGACTTCAACTATAAATAAATGTAATCTCCTTTCCAGATCGGGAGTGAATGATCAATTCCTCCACCCGCTTCCTTGTAGGCCAGTTTCGTCCTTTGACAAAGCTCACCCCTATTACAAGGGCGGGCGTGCTGATGCGTGTGTGTGTGTGTATCATTTGTAAATATCCTGATATCAAGGTCTTCTGGCGTTAGCAGTGGTATCTCAGTAGTTAACAATCACCCTCGCTAGATTTTTACTCCACGAGTTTGTTTACTTCAGTTTGATCTACATGTTACATAGAAAAACTACTTTGTTTGTTCTAAACATGCATGCTGCTGGTTCCATGTGAGGCTTCAAGTTTCTACACTGAAAAAAATACATAACAATATTTATTTTGGTGTTAAAGAGTAAAGATGACAGTCAGCTCACCCAGCACTGATATTGTGGAAAGAAATGTCAGTTCACAGTTCTAAAGTAAAAAAAAGTTAAAGGCTTCCAGATACACCAATAAGAGAAATACCTATGAGAATACTTACAAAATGGCTTTGAAGATACAATAAAATTACAATTAAAAGCTGTGAAGACAAAGGAAAATTACACCTTAAGTTTTCATAACATTATTTGACTCACCTGTAATGAAGCGTGGATCTTTCAACCAGCCCGGAGGGTAAGTTGCATAGTTGCTTAAGCTTCGGCCCTGCAAGTATCCATTGAAAATGCAGAACAGAAGTGCTAACACAAAAGTGACAAATGGTGTTGGTTTTCCTTCACGGATCAGAAGAGGAAATATGAGTGCCCTGTAGCAAATAAGGAACGAAAATTTATTGTATTAACAGACCAAAGAGAGAGTTTTGAAGTCCAAAAACTGTAATCCATAGTCCACGCTATCCTACTTTTCAAATTCTCAGCATTAGAGGCTTTGGTCCCTGTTCTAAAGGACAGTTGCACTTGCTTTAACACCTAAACATTCATTTTGTTGCCTAACTGGAATTACAAGATCAGACCTCTCTCTCTGTATGACAGAAATTTTGAACTTTGTATCCAAGGCAATTACTTTGATGAGAGGAGTAAAGGTAACTGATGTTAAGCACAGCCTATTTTTATTCTTCTTTGTTCCTAAATCCTCAGTAGTATCATCAAGCTTTCTGAAATGAGCCAAGTCTCACAATCCCTACACCAAATCCCCCATCACTTCTAGGGGGAAAAGGCAATGCCCTTAAAATTAACCTAATTGAGCTCAGTTTCCTCCCTACCTTAAAAGTCACTTTAAAACCCTAATTGCTTCACCTCTACGATTTTGGTCTACCCTATGATGCCTGCTAAACACATGACGAACCCACAATTGCCATCCCATTTGGGAAAGGAATCTTGATTGCTTTTCCTGGGGGATTATGGGAATAAACCAACAAGCTCTAAACAAGATCAGGTGAATGTGAATGTTCTTGTGATCTTTCTGGTGCAACAAGCCAACTCCCAATTGCCTATTGATTTAATTACAATCTATAATGAAACAGGACGAGGATTGCTGAAGCCTGAGCAGTTTTCACGTGTTTTCCATTTACCCAAGGACTAGTGCTTCAAAGTAGTCTTTCCAAAGGAAGCACAACCATAACAGCTTTCAAGAAAAAGTAACAAATTCATTAATGGGATTATTTAAAGCATGCTACATTACAACAAAAGGAACTGGATAATAGAGGTCTCTTCCAGTCTACACTCACTTACAGAAGAGTCCCTTAGTCTGGCAACCGCAACAAGCAACTGGAAAAAACAAACTGCAGCACAGCACAGCTTGCTCTACAAACCTTTGTCTCATGTTCCTAGCTATTTCCAGACATCAAGGATGAGTTAAGATCCCATGCGAAAGCTATCATCTTTACTCTTAACAGAAAAAAGAGCAAAGACACAGTCCCGGGTTTTCAAAACCAGCCACCAGGCCAATCACGTTGAATCCTTCTCGGTTGGGAGGATGTGGAATACTTTCAGTCAAAAGCACCAGCCTCTCTCATTCAGCACTGGAAAACAACAGTGTATCAGCCACATACGGAGCTTAACATGACCTGACAAATCTATTGCTCCTGTATTAGTAATGATGCAAAATTGCTCGTGGAGTATGACCAGTAGACACTGTCCGTAACTTGAAGAGAACAGCAAAATCTTACCCGAGCTCCAGCTAAGCTGCCTTCTCCAAGAAGCACCCAAGTTGACTACAGGGCAACATGGAGCACTCGGCCTAAGATTTGCTAGTATTTTAATGAATCACTGAATATCCTGAACTGGAGAAAACCCTCATCCAGTCCAACTCCTTCAACGAACACTATGTTGAAAGACCGTGTTGAGAAACATAACTTAAAATAGCCACTGTTTCACAGCATTAAAATTATACGAGTACAGAGTGCTGAACTTCCCTTGTTTTCAACACTAGGTCCCTTCAGGCAGTCTGATCAAGCCCTTGCTGACACGGGGGTCGCCACCCGAGGTACAGCTGCAGCGCAGGGATGGACCAGCAGCCGAGGGAGCATCGAACATCGCGTTTGCACGCCCGAGCACCGCCTCGCACAGCGCAGCGACACACGGCAGCCGGCACCGCTCCGCCACGGCTCCGCGCCCAGCTCCCGCAACAACGCACAACATCCTAACGCAGCGAAGCCCTAAAGACTTCAGTGATTGTGATATTAAATAACAAGAGCTAATTAACTGGAGCACCTCAACCCGTTCGGTCTGGAGGCAGCAGCCAGGCGTTTCTATGAAGACTGACCCCTTCTCCCGCCCCGGCAGCACTGCCAAGGAGCCCCCCCCAGACGCCCCGGCGGTGCCCCCGCCCCGCCCGCACCTGTGCGCGTAGTGGAGGACGAAGCAGCCCAGCAGGACACGGTTAGCCGGGGCGGCGATGGCCTCCCCACCGCAGGCGGCGAGCCCGATCGGGACGAGGAGGGAGGGCAGTTCCTGCAGCGCCCAGGCAACGCGGGCGGGCAGCAGCGAGCCGAAGCGCCGCGTGGAGTACCGGCCGTAGGGCATAGGGATGAAGCAGAGCAGCAGGGCAGAGCCGGCACCCAGCGCCATCAGCCCATAGGAGAAGAGCTCCAGCAGCCGCCGCTCCTCGGGGCCCTCCACCCTTTTCCAGAAGCCGCAAACACCATGGCAGCCCGCGCACTCCGCCATCACCAACTCCACCGACACCGAGCCCCATCGCCCCCCGCCGCCCCTACTCATCACCCGCTCGGCGCCCCGCCCACCGGGCACCACGGACCAATCGGCGTCGGGGGGCGTGGCCAGAGCCGCCCGCCCGTTGGTGGGCGGGGGGGGTGGGGCGCGCGCTCGGGTTCTCGGGAAGTTCCGCCGGGAAGGGGCTCCAGGAATGAGTGGGCGTGTCCACGCGTGCGCGCCAGTGGCGGGAGCACGTGGCGCGCGGCAGCTGCGCGGTCCCTCCGGCCCAACGGGAGCAGAGCGGGAGCGGCCGTGGCCACCCTTCCTTCCCCACGGCAGGGCTAGTGTCGCGGCTCGGCCGCCGCCTGGCCGCCATGGGCCGGCGAGCGCGGGACCGCCGGCGGCAGCAGCAGCAGCAGCGGCAGGAGCGGGGCGGCGGCGGCGCCGGGGACCAGGCGGTGAGAGCCGGGCCGAGGCGGGGCGGGGTGAAGAGCGGCGGACGGGGAGCGGCGGGACCGGCGGGATAACGGCGGCGGCGTGTTCCTTCAGGGCTGGGCCGGCGGCTACCCAGAGATCGTGAAGGAGAACGAGCTGTTCGAGCGGTACTACCAGGAGCTGGGCATCGTGCCCGCCGGCGAGTGGGACGCGTTCATGGCGGCGCTGCGGGAGCCGCTGCCCGCCACGCTGCGCATCACGGGCTACCGCAGGTAGGGCTGGGGCTGCTGCCCTGGGGACCTGCCCCGGGCACCGCGGGGGCGGGATGCTGTCCGGGAGAAGGGGTGCCTGAGCCAGCTGCTCCACTGGGACGCGTCCCTGCCCGCCGCAGGGGGGCTGGAACTAGGTGATCCTTAGGGGTCCCTTCCAATGTAAACCATCCCGTGGTTCTGTGGTTCTCCATCCGGTGTCCCTCTGCACGTCTGTCGCATGCAGCCATGCCAAAGAGATTCTCCACTGCTTGAAGGAAAAATACTTCAGGGAGCTGCAGAACCTGGAGGTGGATGGTCAAAAAGTCGAGATGCCACAGTCGCTGAGCTGGTGAGTGATCTGGAGGCGAGTTAAGGCACCCTTCCTGACATCCAGCCTGGTGTGTTGCTCTCTTTATTCTGTTTCTGCCCTTTTCCCGTTTCTTTTCCACCAGGTATCCGGAAGAGTTAGCCTGGCACACTAACTTGAGTAGAAAAATCTTACGCAAGTCCCCACAACTGGAAAAGTTTCATCAATTTCTGGTTAGCGAGACAGAGTGTGTAAGTTTCGGATAGATCTTGATTTTTTTCTTTCATGTCCTGAGCAGTGCTTTATTGAATTACAGTATGAGAGAGTGAGACTTTACCTTTTCTCTCAAAAGTTGAGTAACTCAGAAGAATCTGGATTTTATGTTGCTGTTGACTGTGATTCACCCCACAACTCTGGTGCATAACCGCAGCTACACATACTTTTCCTAAACTAATTGCAGTTTTTTTGTGGTTGTTTGGCGATGCTAAAACGAGTCCCTGTAAGATAATTAGTTGCTGTTAGAAACCAGATGTTTAAATCTGGTAAAAAGTGCATGTGTGTGCATGACAAGACTTAGCTTAAGCGATGGGAGTTTGTCACTTGGTTGAAGCCAGTTTCTCATCTTTTTTGAGCAGAAACTACATCTGTAGAATTAATACAATTGGAGTAAATGTGCAATTATCAGAAAATACACTTGTGTGAATACTGTGATTGCTTTTTTTGTTAAATTCTAGCAAAATTTAAACCTAGATTTATAGTAGTGTGTTTCTGACTGCTTTCTTATTTTATTACATAGTGATTTAAAAATTTTATTGCAAAAGAAATGCATTGTTTTGTGAATAAAAACAAATTTAATTTCTTTTTTCCTTTCAAGGGAAATATCAGTCGTCAGGAGGCTGTTAGTATGATCCCACCTCTGCTGCTTAACGTTAGCCCTCATCATAAGGTAACTAGAATATAATGTGTACTAAAGCTTTTTCCCTGAAGTTAGTTTGATGAAACTACACATCACAACAGCAGTATCAATGCTGATACACAGTTCTGTTTTGTGTTGGTGTGTTTTAGGCTTTCTGCACATCAACAGCAACACTCAACTAGTGTTCATATCACAAACACAGTGAACATCTGCTTTTTCAGCTGTATGTACTACCCTGTAAGAAACACTTAGGTTTTAAGTAGTTGCATAGTCTTATTTTCAAAGTGTAAATGTGTTCAGCTGCATTTGAGTTACATATTCATGTTTCAACGTGCTTTAAAGTAAGATGACTGTTTTTAACTTCCTGCTCTCCATCACACTGTGAACCAGATGTAATTTTCCAGATTCAAATGATAATGTTCTCTGCCAGTTAGATTTCACTCCTCTATGCCTTTTGAAGAAGTTGCAAATTTCTACTCTATAAATGTGTTAGGCAAAATAATTTGGGTGAATTGAAACACAGTACTGGTGATGGCTGAACACTATAGGGTGCTAACTTTAACAGAGGTGTCTAAGGAATGCCCATGATATTTTCCAATAACAGACTGTAGGAATGGGGATATCTGGTAGCAAATTTTCTATTCTAACTTCTGTGATGTTTTCATACTTTATGCTTGCTTTCAGACTAAATCTGTCAGGTGGCCTTATTCTCTTGGTCTCTTAAATTAGTTAGCTAGTTGTTTTGTTACCTTAAGCAGTCATGTTGTGTTCTTTCTTAAATTTTCATGACGTATCTTAAAATTTTAAGTTTTTCAAACTTCCGACATGTTTTAAAGCCTAGTTTGTAACTACTTGTTTTTATATTAGCATTACCTAGCATATGTAATGTTTCATCTTATCTTCTCCTGCTTTCACCCCAACCCAGTGTATGTCACAGGACTGATGTGAGTCAAGGTCTCATCTCTCTTAAGTGAATAATGAATTGAAAGACTCAGTCCTGATGTGTCACAGGTGCATTTTCAGTTTTGTCTGGAGTTGAACAGGTAGTGAACATGTTCAACTTAATGTAAAACACAAACTGGGGGAGTATTTTTGCACACACATTGTATATGCTAAGCTAGCAGTATACGGATTTTACATTGAATATTTAACTTGGGTGACTGTATTTCAGCAGGCGTTTTCCAGAAGTGAGTGTAAGATTTCACAGATTTGGTCATAAGTCAGGCTTAGAATAGATTCTTTATCCTGTCTTGTGCCAAGACAGCAAATAACTGCTGTAACAATGACAGCAACTTTTGTCATTTAGGACTTTTTCTGGTCCTTAGTGTCTTAGCTTCTGAGCTGCTTGTTATGACCAGAACTGCAGGTTACTTTTCATGCTTAACCAGCATGTTCTGTACATCACGTCTTACGTGCTGATTCCATGTTGTACAAGGATCAACTTAGTGACTGTCAAGCCTCTCCATATCTGTGTTCATTTTAAATCTATTTTTGACAATTTAGTTTTCCTCACCATCATTTTGGTGGCAAGTTTTAGAGCACGTTTAGCTTTGTATATTCTTCATTATCTTTTCATATTACCTGCAAAACTAGAAAACAATAGCATCACAACTGTTACTTTAAAGAGCACGTATGATGTCGTTGTACTGAGTGCGTTTCATGATGTGTTAGCACTTTACCATGTGCTCTTTGGAGCTCTCTTTGCTTTTCTCTGGGGGCTTTCTAGTTTAGTCTTGTTCATGCCAGGGTCTTGCATGAGGATCTGAGCAGATCCCTTCCCATCCTTTATCCTGTTGCATGATTTCATCTAATTTTTAACAGAGCCAAAGATCCGGGAGATAGACATGTGTTTCTGAAAATCTGTAACTAGGCAGGAGGAAAGACTCTAAGCTTCCTTACTTAAGAGAACAGTATTAAATATCAATTGATTTGCTGTGAAAGTGACTACAAATGACTTGATCACAAGCCAAGTTCCTGATGAACCAGGAAGGAGAAATACAGTAGAATTTAGGTGTTCATGTGTGTTGATGTTGGTGCTGTTCTGTTCAGCTGCCTCAGGGCAGTTAAAAAACTTCCCAAGTGCTTCTTCAAGAAAGAGAAACAAGAGATTATGCTGCGTTGATTTTTTTGCATTAAAATGCAAATGTGTGGGGAGGGATAGCAACTCATTTTTATAAAATCTATATAATCAACTGTCTCTGGTTGATTTACTAATAGTTTAAAGAAGAGTACTACTTGCTCTTGATTGTAACTTTGCTCTCAATATGTGTGTGTATATGTAAAGTGCCAGTTAACTTCAGTTGGAATTGCTAGTAAAAGGACCATACCCCTATATCTGTGTTCAGGTTCGTCTTTCAAATTCTATTTCATCTGATGTATTTGTTCCCTTCAATGTAAAGTCCTTTTTATATTTTAGGCTCTCAAAGGTAAAGCACACGAAGATCAGGACTGTACTTTGTTTTCAAATTGGTGTTCAGAACAATCAATTCTCTACGTGCAAAAATACTTAGTTTAAACAAAACACGTAGTAAATTTCTTGAGTACTTGAAAAATACAAACCAGGACTTTTTTTAACTTTCTGGTGTTTGTAGATTCTAGATATGTGTGCTGCACCTGGATCTAAGACGGCACAACTCATTGAAATGTTGCATGCAGACATGAATGTTCCTTTTCCCAGTAAGTCTGGAAAACTACTAAAAACTTTTGTGACTTGGAATTTCTGCTTTTTCTTGTAAAAGATAAAGGTTCCCCACCTTTGCTTTGAAACTTCATGGGCTTCCTTGACGTGAAGGAGAGAGATGAGTTATATATGTGTATATATATATATATATCTATATATCTATATATATCGTTGCAGTTCAGAGTACAGCACCTGTGATTAGAGCTTAATTCTTGTATATAAATGAGATTTACCTAGTAGATGATGGCCCATGAGCCCCTGTGGTTTAGTGATATCCTGCAAACACTGGATTAAGCTGTTTTAGACTTAAAGTGGTTGTGATATTTATCTTCTTTGTAAGTTTCAGAATCTTTACTCTTGATTAGATGCTCCCAGAAAATACTGTCCACTGAAATATAAAGTTATGGGAGTGTGTGGATTCTTTCTGCATTCTACTGAAACTTTGCTGATGTAGAGATTGGTGATAGTGGGGGTTTTCTCTGTTACAGGGGTTTTACTTTGAAAAGTTGAAGAGCCTTTGGCTGTGTCTTACTGCCGCTAGATGGAAGCTAGAACTTTTGAGACTATGGCACATCAGTTAAACTTCAACATACCTTTAAGTTATTTTATGCTCAGTAAGGGCTCCTCTATTCATGAGCAGCCTTTTAAGTAAAAATCTCTACTGAAAGGTTTATACAACTTTGAACATAAGGCAATAAACTATGTAAAATTACTTAGGTGTTGAATAGTAAAGCATCTTCCCACTGTTTTATGTTCCAGAGGGTTTCGTAATTGCTAATGATGTCGACAACAAGCGCTGCTATTTGCTGGTTCATCAGGCTAAGAGATTAAACAGTCCGTGCATCATGGTGGTAAATCATGATGCCTCCAGCATTCCTAACCTACAAATAGATGTTGATGGAAGAAAAGAGATCCTCTTCTATGACAGGATTTTATGTGACGTCCCCTGCAGGTATCTGGCATGTAAACTTGAATACATGAATGTTACTGCACTAAGTGCCATGCTAAGTTTTTTTGTGTTACCAAATCATGAGTTGGTAACACAACTCATGAGTTTTTTGAGTTATGATTTATAGTAACTTCCAAAACAAGCAAATGCCTTAAGTTGTCTTAGATGTGAGGATACTGAATCAAGGTGAACTTTCTTCATTCCAAATGGTCCTTAAATATAGTCAGTTAAAGGGCTTCAAATTTTGAACTTAAACTCAGGATACTGAAATACGAAGACAGTGAGGAAACAAAGAATACAGTGTTAGAAAACTAGTTAACGTGAGAGGACTGTAAAAATTATTCTGCTATAAATGACTTGGATATGAAAAGAGTTTTACACACAAATAATACAAATCTACTCAACCTCTGTTGCAGCGGAGATGGAACCATGAGGAAAAACATTGATGTATGGAAGAAGTGGACAACACAAAACAGTTTGCAGCTCCACGGGTAAAAGTGCTTACACATCTGCACTTCTTTCATTTCTCTCTCTTCCTTTCCCCATATCTTCAACATCTGCATGCATTCACATGTTAATGTATGACAAAGCAGAGACAAAGAAGACTCACTTTTCTCTCAAATCAAGAGCTTATGTGCTATTCAGAGGAAGTGTAGGGTTTTGGATGTGAATGGAGCATGTGAATCCAAATTGCTTGTATTCTTATGAATATCCGACATATTAATGTTCATTGAATTGATTTAGACAGGGTAGCTAATAAAACAGAAGAAATCATTTGGTTGGGATTCTTAGCGTTCCAAATACTCTTGGAAAATGCAATAACTTGTAAAATTTGCTAGTAATGTTTTAAAGTCTTTAGGATAATAGACATCATACATAAACAATTTCAGTTACCTGAGATTGATTTATGTTAACTGATGATGAATGAGTACTTAGGCTAGTGCAGGCACATGATAAAATGCAGATTGAAACACAGATGACAAAGCTTAGAACGTTTCACTGTGTATTTTTAACACACTGGGGGTGCCATTGATTACTGTGACTCAGCTGACCTATGACTGCTTGGTAATTCATTCATAGTTGCAGATTTTCTTTTAGTTGTAAGTGTGGAGGTAGGGGTCTAAGCTGTCATCCAGCTCAGTAATACCTTTCTCAGAAGGCCATTGCTACCTAAGATGTGTTGTTCATAACATTTGTAATAGTCAGATTACTGCTCATTTTAACTCTGAATTTCTGAGAAGAGTCATGTTTTGGGGTGTTATTTTTCTAGTGTTGAGTACTTGATAATAAACTTGATGGGGCACTAGAAAGAACAAAATACAGAATGCTATGTTAAAAGCAACCCTGGATCATTGTTTATGTTTGACCTAATTGCTGTTCTAATTTAATAGGTGTAATTGTGAGTGTGTCTGCAGTATAGACTGCACTAAGCTGGTTAAGTTTGAAACTGACTTTAATTTGTGTACTGGTGACAGCTGTGGAACTCCCTAAGTACTGGCTTAGTCCATGGAGAGTTGTATGTCTGCAGTATAGCTTCTTTCGGGTTCCTGAATGACAGCTGGCTAGACCAAAAGTGTTCTGTTAGATTGCAGCTGAGAATTGCAACCCGTGGTGTTGAACAGCTGGCAGAAGGTGGGAGAATGGTGTATTCTACGTGTTCATTGAATCCTATCGAAAATGAAGCTGTGATCGCATCTCTGCTGGAGAAAAGTCAAGGTGAGAATGTGAGTTTGGATGCAGTACAGAACTTTATTTTTTCCCCTCAGCCCAAAAAAAGATATGTGTGCTATGGTACTAGTGATAAGTTTAGCGTGGGTAATACACTTCTAGTTTGCATCCTTTGACCCACATTTTGACATGATTGAAATTTTAATGTCTTTAAATTCATGGGATTTTTTACATTTTTGACTTGCATATGATGGCCGAGGTAACAAAAGGTGGAAAAATTGAGACTGACTGAGAAGCTACACTGCATTACTTTGCGATAGTAGAGTTTAGTAGCCCATTTAGTAGCTGGTGGATCCTGTTTTTTCTGAATCAGTACCCTGAAATTTGGAGATATCTAATGAAATTTGGCATGAAAATTTCCACTGACTTTGTGGTAAATTGAGCCTTTTACAGAGTAGAAGCAGCTGTATTGCTCCTGGACCTGAGCTTATTCTGGAAGTTGGTAACCTGTTTTGTGTAATGTCAGTATTCTGGCCAGTCAGTATTCTGGCCCCAAATTGTGCATGGAATTTCATTGTCTCAGAAACAGCAGTTTAGCTAAAGTGCTTGCAGATTAATTAGGAACTGACTATTTAATTTCCACTCAAATGACATTTTTATTTAGAGGTAGTTTCTTTGGTAGGCACGGATGTGTTTCCAGTATATTATATTAGGCTTGGCTTATTGAAGGTTGTAGTAAGCCAGTGTTAAATTTAACGACTAGTTTGGATAGGGGCACGAAGCAGTATGGATGTTAACAGAGGCCAACAATTGCAGTATCTGGGGCAAATTCAGTACTTGGAAGGAAGGATTTTGACTGGCTGTTCCGTTAAGATCTAGTCTTGGCCCAGTGGAGGTATTTTGAAGTGTACCTGGAGGCTATGACGTGTCCCAACAAGTGAATGTTACCCTTGGAACTTGAACATAGGTGTAGCTAAAGAAGGGTGAGGTAGTGCAGTGGTCTGCAAGGGGCACTGGACCTCAAGAATTCACTCAGGTCAGTCCAGAAGATTGTTGGTGCTTTCTAAAGCAGTGTTAACTGCTACCTGTAGAGCAGATGAGATTGCTTTCCCCTTACGGCTGAGGGAGTAAGGAAAGGGCACTTTTGTACCATTTGGAAACTAATGGAAATTGTGCTACTTCTAATGGACTCTTTAGTGCCTTATCAATCTAATGTAGTCTTGAGGCATCAGCTGAAGTCATGCTGTAGAGGGACAGGACTACTCAAAGGACGGATGCAAATATCAAGCTTAATCACATTTGAAATGTCATCTTTGAATTTGTCTATGAATTCACATATCACTTTTTCATTTATTTAAAAGACTTGCTTAAATGTCACTGTAAGAGTCAATGGTTAGTCATGTAGAAGTGGTTGATAAATTGTGTTCGGCATGAGGAAAAAGCCTACCTGACTGTTAAAAACCAAAGTATTCAGAATCACAGAAAAGAAATGTTAAAAGTTATTCATCGCTGGAGAGATCACCTTTTTAAACAGTGAATTTTTATATCATTCTTTCTGGACTTGGAGCAGTTTAAACCTTTAATTCAGTAGATTAAGTTATACTCTAATATCTCTTGTAGTAATTTGACATATTTTAGACACATAGTCTTTTGTCCTATTAATTTGATAGTACTTACCTTACTGTTAAACAGTTTTTGGAATTTTCCTTTCAGTTTAAAAAATAATAAATTCTCTTTCCATTCACACTGGAATATATTGAGATGTTAAGTCCATAAAATGAGAACACAGTAGGCCTTTTAGAAGGCTTTGTTATCCCAAGAGTTATTCCCAGAAAAATACTTAAACAGTATGGTAAATTGAAATACTAAGTAAATGAGAATAAAAACTTAAATGATTGCTTTGCCTAGAACACTGTTATTTAATGATAGAAGTCATAGAGCACTACTCTATGCAGTTGCTACAAAAAATATTGAACCGTTATATTTTGGTTAATTTATAAGTTGCAAACTTAAATAGTTATTATTAACAGTTCTTACCATCTTTGTTAATTTACATGATAGTAGCTGTATATCATTTTATTTCTTGAAAGTTTTAAAAAGCAGTGTTCTTAAAATGGTCTTAAAACTTGAAGGAAAACTATTTTTATAAAAGTTAATTAGCAACACAACTCTTCAATTCTGTTTTCAAGACCATTTATATTCTTGGGATTTCAGGTGCCTTAGAACTTGCTGATGTCTCTTCCGAGTTACCAGGCTTGAAGAGGATGCCAGGAATTACAAAATGGAAGGTACTTAAACTGATAGTTTTTTGAAGTTCTTAGTCTGTGGTAGAGTGCTAAGTTAGGGAAATTTTGAAGTGTAACATTTTACAATGTTGAGTTGAGCTGGATTAATGCCAGTGATTTGATGTTTAGGGGAGAGAGCTAAAAGTCTTTCTGATAGTAAGTTCTTGTCTCTTCGTCTGCTATTCTCTTACCTCTACCTTTCTTTGATCTCTCTCCTATACTTCAGTGTTATAATTCCCTTTCCTGTTGTGTGCATGTGGCCTGTAGATGGCAATGTAATTTCAGCCGCTTTTAAAGTCATCCATCCTCCTCGGTCTTTAGAGTCTGTGAATGTTAGATTCTGCAGTTCTTCAGCTGGTCCATTTGAATCATTTGGAAGTAAAACCTGTGAAACCCTTTTTGGAAATTAGCTATAAAGCCTGCAGTGATGTGACTAATCCTAAAATATTAATAGAATCCTCTATTTTGTTCCATGTCTTGTGTGACTTCAGGTCTGGAAACAGACTAGTAGGGAAGGGCAAAAAAACCCGAAGCTGCTTCAGCTTCCTGTTAAGAGTATACTCAAGAAGAGTAGAAGGCCATCCTGGTAGTAGGGAAAGAAACTGATTAAATTTTAGTTATGAGTGTGTGCCTTTGCAGTGCCATTGGTTGTTCTGTCTTACCATCTCACTAGTCTCTTGCAATGGCAGGCTGCAAGTTTATGGCTGTGTGCAGACTAATGAACAAGATACGTGGAATAAAGATTTGCTTATGTTCTGCCATTGGAAATCCAGCTGAGTAACTAGCTGATTTCCTTCTTCTTACAATTCCAAAAGTTTACACTATGCTTGTACCTGAAGAATAAATGTAAAATGCATAACTGTGGCTCTGTAATCTTAATTTTACCTTTTTTTTTTGGTTCTGTGTAAAGCTACTATATATATGTATTTATATATATAATGATCACTAAGAGTATATTGTATTCCCTGTTGCATTTATTTCTCAGCAGTTGAAATATAAATCTTCTAAAAGTATTTTAGAAACTAGGCTAATAAAATCTGTTGAAAGTTTGCAAGACTTTCTTCAGTCCTTATTTGCTTCTACTGTATTTTTGCAGGCTTTATTGGCTAGCTTGTCATTGAATGTATTTTCTTGCTTTGGTACTGTTTTTACTTTTATTGCTGCTGTTCTTTTATTCCCTGGTGAAACATCTGTTCACTTGGGAGCTCTGTGACTGATTACATGGAATATTCTTGAGCATCAGTTGACTGTAAATCTCTGGAAACAGCAACACAGAAATAAGGTTTTGTTCGAGGGACACTTAGGTGCTTAGAAGTAGCAATCAGTACTCTTTCCTGAAGCCAGATGATGAGTGAACTCCAGTGAATTATTTCAGTCTTGAAAGAAGAGACCTTTTTAACTCCAGATCTGATAATCTACAGCACTTTCACTCCTTGTTCTACCCTAGCACATGGCTAGTAAAATGTGCAGTAGAGTTCAGTGTGTTCTTTGGTGCTTTCTCATTCTACCAGTCACACCAGTCTACCAGTTAGGCTGATAAACCAAAACTGAACAGTGCAGGGCTGTTGGGCAGTTATTCTGGTAAATCCAAAATAGTTCTAGACTTGTTTGGACTACAGTTATTTATCAGTCCCATTGTTTTTTCTCAAGCTTCAGTTGTGACTTCCAAAGAAGTACAGTCTGTCTTGTCTCCATCTAGGACTATGACATGTAGCATAGTTTGGCTTGAAATAATAATTCTGGAAGTGCAGTAATTTCTATTTCAAGAATGTGCAAATGCACAATATTTTATGATCAGATGTGATCTAATCAGTGGCTCAGAATGATGCTGAAATCTGTGTTCTAAAGTTCTTAGGGAAATGGTAATCTAGATAAATATTACGTTTCTGCTTCCAGTAGAACACTAATTTAAACTTTCTTAAACTTTCAAGATAATCACAGTGGGATGTATGAAACCACTTCATCATACTTGCCAGTCCTGAAGTCACCATCTCTGCAACTTCTTTATTTTGTTACCTTAATGACAAAAATGGGCCTTCATTTCAGATATTAACTTTATGCATTTACCCCACATGTACCCAGATGTGACCTTCCTTACAGCCAATACAAAACCAGGCATCTAGAGCTCTGAAGTGAGATTTTCCCTGACTTATTTTTTCACTTTGGTTTTCTTTCTTAAAGAGCATTCAGAATGCCTTCCTACAAGATTTGTGGCTCTAACCTTCTGCTTGTATCTCAACAGTCCATCAAAAGCTTTGACTTCTAGCCAGAAAGAGGTGATGTTAGGCCTACACAGTGTAAAAGTGGATTTATAGATGTGTTCTGAGTTCTGGGTAAAGTTACAGACACTAGAAAATTAATGAGAGACATGGTTCTTCAGCAGCTTTCCTTGAAAACATCTCTGTCAATGACCTATGCACGCCTGTGTCATGGGGCTCTATGATTACCAAGCTGTTGTATTGCACTCTTGCATCTTTCTTACATAATGAAATTGAGATTCCTCAGTTCTAATCTCTACTGGACAGCAGTAGTCCTTTTCTATACCAGAAAATAATTTCTCTTTTTGGCATCGAAACCTTGGTTTGGAAGTATTATAATTAAAATTTATAAAGCGGTGACCTATGTTCTTTACAGTATTTATACTTCTTCCTTTGAAGGTAATGCTGAAAGATGGACAGTGGTTTGAAGAGTGGAAAGATGTGCCTTCAAATAGACAAACACAAATACGTCCCACTATGTTTCCAGTAAAAGATGAAGAGAAGCTAAAGGCAATGAATCTAGAGCGTTGGTAAGTTTTCCCAGAGTAGATCTTATGAGGATTTGATGATTAACATGTATGATGGTGGGCAAATTATAATTAGGTCAGATTAGGAATGTATTGCAGTATAGACCTGTTTGAATAGGTCTGAGTATATTTTGATTGCTTCCTATGTAGTGGCAGTAGACTATTTAAAGTCCAGTGAATTCAGAGAAATTATTGCATGTTGCTTCTGAGGAATAACTACTCACACAAAAAGGTCTAATTCTTTGCATCCAGTAGAGACGCATAGCCAAAATTACTGGAAAAGTATGTAAAACTTCAGCGTTTTAACAGTGTGACTTACTTGCTATGAAAGGCTTTCCATAGCTATTCTAAAAATATTGTTTAGAAATGAGTCATTAAAACTCGGATGTGAACTGTGAAATGAATGTGTTGCACTGATGCAAGTAATTTTGCCAGAATGCTCTACTTTAGATCCTGTTTCTAGTTTGATAAATTAAATCTGCACAATCCTACTAGGAATACTTAGCCTGTCCTGAAAATGATTATAAATGTGACACTTCTAGTATTTTGTGAGAGCCTGAGTGCAGATATGAATACACTGCAACATTTTTTTTCTTTTCTCTCTAGTCTTAGGATATTGCCACATCACCAGAACACAGGCGGTTTCTTTGTGGCTGTGTTAATAAAAAAGTCTCCCATGCCATGGAATAAACGTCAACCTAAGGTAACTTTTTCTAAAACATCTAAAATGTTTATTAATAATGTTTCAGATTTTTTTTTAAATATTACACATAATAGAAAACATACTATAACTATTTTGTATCTGCCTTTCAGTTATAGCTCAGTGTGTCAGTTAAAAATAAATTCCTAAATCCCTTAAGTACTTTAAAAAAAATGACAACTTCTAAAATAGAAAAAAAGAGATGGGATTTTGAAATTATAGTAAAATAGTAAGATAAAGCTTGAACCTAAAATGAAGACTTTGAAAGAATTACAGAAGCAGATTATATTAGGTTGCTAAAGCTGTCAGTTCCTTCAGTGTGTGTGGTCCCCCTGCTGAAGGCTTTTTTCTGCTGTGTTGTAAGCTGATTCTGATTTCAGTTTATCTTACTCTGTGGCTGCTTGCTCAGGGGTGATTCACTAACAGATTAGTCTAGCAGATCAGCAGCAGGGGGAGTGGATGTAAAACTGTTAGGAGCAGCAGCTTCAGCCATCTGACTTTAATCCATTTGTTGTCAATTGTCTTTAAAATCCTGTCAACAGGATTTTAAGTTGGCGTGATTTATTTGATCTCTTAGATTGTCACGTCTATGAGAAAAACATCTTGTGTGAATAAGCTCCTTTAGATGTTTTTGTTCATTTGATTTGCTTAATTAGAACAGCTTACAAGTAAAATGTATGTGTCAATAGGGAAGAAGCATTTATTCAGAAGCAAGTGTCATCTAAGTAGTTTATTCTGTTCTAAGTTGAACATTGTAGCACTCTCCTGGAAGGTGTCCAACAGCAGGATGCATGTGTCACTTTGAGTGCTAGAAGGAAAACAGCAGAGGCTGTCTTAAAGTAGTCTTCTCTGAGTGCTTGAACGTGATTTTGTAAATGGTACAAAAATAGCTTTCTTGGACAGTTGGTACGAAACTGTCCGGATCAGTACTAGAGGTAAATGCAATTTATATAGTGGTATCTTGATCTAGTAATCAGATTAACTCTCTGAATGGATCTGTTTAAGCACTTGCATACAAATTGACAAGAATTAAGCACACGCAGAGAGCGAACATAGGTGCCTTCTGTTACAAGTTAGATTCTACTTTGCTTTGTTGAAAATAATTTAATCTGAAATAGGTTCATCAGAAGTTACCACAAAGAACAGGAGATACTGAAGTGACAGCAACTAATTCAGATAATGGTTCTGACTGTATTACTGAAGAACCAATACTTGCTGAAAATGAAGAGTCTAAGAAAATGGAAGGATTGCAGAATTTGGACACTGAGCAAAGCAAAAAGGAAGGAGTATGTGGGTAAGTATTTGTCCTGTGACAGCTTTGTAATTGCTGAGTATTCTATAGTTCTTTTGTTACTGGACTCATTTAGAAGTCGATCAAGAAGAATTAATGAATTCATTCAGTTGTCCTGCATTTCCATGTTTTCTGTCTTGTATTTCAGCAAGTTTGGAAACTAACCAGTTTTCTTATTAACATTTGCAAAGTCTCTGTTAAGGAAAAAAAACTTTCAGAACTTAACATTTGGAAGATCTTATTGTCTTCACAATCACTGTCAGAAATCTGTTTACTTGTTTTTGTGGTTTCTGTTTTAAAGCACTTCTTTCACATCCTCATTTTAAGAAGTTATATTGTGGGTAGTGTTCTCCTAGTGAAGCATGGGAAAATGCCCATATTCTGTTTGGCATACTGTTGTTACCACAAAGCAAGTGTTGACTAAATGAACTGAATATACTGATTTGAAGCCAAGTACTTTTACTAAAATTGACAGTGTAATGTTATTTTCTTTTTAGACCACCACCATCTAAAAAAATGAAGTTGTTTGGTTTTAAAGAAGACCCTTTTGTCTTTCTCCCTGAAGATGATCCATTGTTCCTTCCTATCCAGTAAGAAAAAAATGTTTCTGGTTTGGCAGTAAGATTCCTAGTAATTTGGGAATATTAGTAGTTCAGTTCATCACAAAAGATGGGTCTGGTTGATCATGTGTGAAGATTTTTGCCTAATTTTACATCAGGGGCTCCTCTCCTCAACTTTTAAACACCTCTTAAATGAAAATAACCAACTGGAGTTTGCACTGGAAATTTTCAAGTATATCTTGGTGTCTATGACAGCTTGTCTTTTCTGATGTCATACAGCTTAGAAAGTCTAATCTTTGTGTTCTGGAACCAAAGTGCTAAGTGTTTGCAGAGATAGCCAGAGGAAGTGGGCTAACCCATGCATTTTGAGTGTGTGATTTCATTGCTCAGTTAATCAAAGCAAGCATTATGGCTACAGGAAGTTTTATGCATTGGACCCATCATTTCCCAAGATGAATTTACTGACTCGAACTCANGAAGAGACAGCTGTACATGGTTTCTAAGGAGCTAAGGAATGTGCTTCTGAACAACAGTGAGAAGATGAAGGTACGGTTCGTCTCCAGGTTTTCACAAGGGAGGTTATAAGCATTAGTGGGTATCTCCTTGAACTTTATCGCCATGCTTGCTGTTTATATAGAGCATTAGCCCTCTTGACAGGCTTTTTTTTAGTCTGGATTAGTGTTTTCCTCTCCATCCCTCCTCTACTAGAGGTGAAGATTTGACTCTGAGAGGTAAATAACAGCCTTCAGAATTAAAATCGGTAAATTTTTGGTGGATGAAAGGGAACTTAAAAGTAAAGAGAGGGAATATATATAACTGCTCTGTGTGTACCATTGTGTACTGCATTTTTATGCAGTCTTCAGGTAACTTCACAAGTTTACATTGATGCTGTTGTATTTATGAGCCCCTTAATTATAACATTATTAAGAGCTCTGAAAGCCTACCAAAAATAAGATACCTTCAGCTGAATTATTAGCTGGCTGCGTTATATGAGGACACTGTTTTAAAGTACTTCCAACAACTGAACATTTTGAAAGGTTGTTAAGCTGGAATAATAAGTTTTTGTGAATTAGAGGGGAAAAATGTTTTTATAGGATTCCCTATGGTAAATGTCTTGCAAATGCTAAAGACTTGTCTTTCAAGTCATTGAGTGATTTAAGTTGGAATGAAGTCATCTAGTCCAGCTTCCTTCTTGCATCAAAGAGAGCTGACTTCAAAGCTAGATCAGATACAGTCTGGGTCCAGTCAGATCTTGAAAATTGCTGAGGGTATTCAGTACATCTTTACAACAGATCGTTAAGATGGATAAATAATTATTCTTTTATCCCCCATGCAGGAAATGGCTACATAATTGACAAAATTTTAAGAAATTGGTGCACTGCATCAGGTAGTGAGACTTTGAGTACCACAAAGGATATAGTGTCCTAATATTAATGCCATGTACATTTTTTATTGTCCTTGCTTGACTTTCCGAAAATCACACAGAAAATCCTTACTCAAACTAAAATAAAAATTAGATATTAATAGTTCATTGCCCTAATTTTAAAACTGCCACTTCCTCACACTGTTCAGTTTTCAATATGGAAAGAAGTAAAAGGCGTTTTATGTTGATAGGGCACTACATTTTTGTAGTGGGAGATCCTTTTTCCCTTGGATGAATTTTCACATTAGTTCAGCGTCCAATGCGAATGAACAAACATTACAGCAGAATTATCCCTTCTTCCTCCTTTTAGTCAAACAGTTGATGAAAAACAAAGTTCAAAGTGGTAATTTAGAATTTATGCTCCTTAATGACGCTTATTGGCCTTGCTGTTTGCAGGTTATTAACACAGGGATAAAAGTCTGGTCTCGCAACAGTGATGGTGAACAGTTTGGATGTGCATTCCGATTAGCACAAGAGGTAATTACGTAGCATTGTATTTTCCGAGGAGATATTTTGGTTTCCTCTAGAGCCTATAACACATCTGGCATTAACTTTGTCAGATTAGTGACAATTTGCATTTTCAGTATGGTTTAAAATGTGAAAATTGTTTTCTAATATTAGGTAAAGGACATACTATTTTTAACACTTTTCCTTCACAAAGTAAAAGTTGCATTTTGAAATAATTGTATTTATTTATTAAACAGGGAATTTATACTCTGTACCCATTCATTAATGCGAGGATTATAAATGTTTGCATAGAAGATGTTAAAATTCTGCTAACCCAGGAAAATCCATTCTTAACTAAATTTAGCAGTGAAACACAGAAGAAAGTCAAAGACATGGGTAAGTCTTCTAATTTGTTTTGTAACAAAATTATTTTTATACATTACACAGAGGACTGTGAAAATCCTGTGACGTAAACTGTGTTTGCTAAAAATTTTGACTAAATTTATCTTGAATATACTTGTTAGGTAAGTAAGCTTTACTGAAACCTAGTGCACTACTAGAAATTTCAGTCCTTTTTGGTTGCAGCCTTTAAGATTTATGAGCTTGAGAGAACAGAAGAGTTGCCAGACTTGTGACTTCTGTGAAGCAGTGCCGTGAGGCCGCATTTAAAATATCTGATGAACAAAGATTTTATATACGCTTCTGATCTTTATGCCTGTTAATGCTCCAGCTGAAACTTTGTCATCTGCAGTTGCATGTCACGATCTTATGTATCAAATATAGTTATTCAGATTCTGTTTTGTTAAATATGAGCAGCAATGTCTACTCGTATTAAATTTTTAAATTTTTATTTCCTCTTCACTAGATGCTTGAAGAAATGAAGATGAGTTTTCAGCCTTTTATTTATGTTGTTTTATTTTCAACTCATTGCTGATCCTTGTTCTTCAGTATTTGATGAGACAGAATGGGATGAAAAATTTTTCTAAAGTTTGAGCTGGCATACTCTTATGTTCATTTTAATTAAGTAGAAGTTCCTTGCTAGGTTCACTGAGTAAATTAATCCATTATGTGGGTTTTGTATTTTAATTTGTTTGTTTGGCGTTTGGAGGAGACGGGGTTGGCAGTTGCTTCTGTAACTATAGAAATACTTCGGTCTGAGAAAAAGGGAATAAAACCTGGTATTGTCTATAGTTCAGTGTATTGATGTAGATAACTGCTACCCATCTCATGCTGTGTGACTGTCTGAAAACTTGTTTTCTTGAACATTTTCAGATGACAATCACTTAACGTTGTACCAAGTAACACATGTTTTGTTTTTGTTTTCCCCACCCCCCCTCCCTGCAGCAATGGGAAGTGTAGTTCTGAAGTATGACCCAAACCCTGAGTAAGTAGATGTGTTGCTTTCTACTTATGCACTTTAAAGACTTGCACAAGAATTTATTCTCACTCAGCAAAAACAGAATAGAGGCATAGAGATGCAATGAGGTCAACAGTAAAGCCAGATGGGATACAGAGACTGACAGAGAAGCTGTCTTGCCTGTGTATTCTTAAAACAAGTGTACTATGTAGCTTTATAAAGGAGACCTGATAGTTCTGCCAGACGTCCACAGTTCACTGCATGTGATTTATTTGTTTGATTCCCTGTAAAGTCCAGCACTGGAATGGAAAATATTACTTTTCATTGTTTCTTTGTGTGGACAAAGTACCTTTTGTGGACAAAACTCTTGAGAACTTCTTAAATGTAAACTTTCATCTTGCTTGTATTAGTTCTGAAACCAGAGCCAGAAAATTATTTTGTTTGAGAAACTTAATAGCATTGAGCTGGTTTTTAATTTTTTTTGTCTTGTGCACTTACTTATTGGGGTATGGCTATAAAATGATGTTTTGAAGATTAACTTTCTCATAATTGACTGAAGGTAACTGCTTGTTTGTAGAAAACCTGATGATCTTCAGTGTCCAATAGTGCTTTGTGGTTGGCAAGGAAAGACGTCACTCCGTGCCTTTGTGCCCAAGAATGAGAGACTTCATTACCTGAGGATGATGGGAGTTGAAGTGTTTAAAGCAAAGAAGAAAGAGGAGGAATTGGAAAACAAAACTGAGGAAGAAGTTCAACATAAGCTGGCGCAAACAGAGGACGGAATGGATGTGGAAGATAAAGAACACGATTTAGTCACAAAAATGGAAGCAGAAATAGGTGAAGAATCTTCCCAGAGTCCTGTGGAAAGCAGTGCTATGGAAACAGAAAATAAAACTGAGGATTTAGATCAATCCAGTAAAAATGCCACCACTCACATAAGCAAGGAAAGCAAAGGCACGGATACAAGTAATGTGAAAGATTAGATTTCTTTTGTATTGCTTGGCAGCTTCCACGAGGCTCATATACAACTTTTGCTTTTAGCATGAAACTGTATTTTAAAATTTTGGTTGGAATGGGATGTTCCTCTTTGGAAGTTTCACCTATTTTATATTTTAAATGAAAGCTGTAAAGAGATTTCGAGTGTGTCTTCTTTTTACCATTTTAAACTCCCTATTAGTGGTGGGTTTGCGTGTCTGTTGCTGGCAAAGGACCAGCACCAGTAAAATCTAAAGCCCATATTTTAAATGGAACAAATGGACTGCCTGTGTAACTAGTCAATTCCTTCAGAAGAAAAGCCTGGAATTTAATTCAAAGTACATAAGTTCCAAAAAAAATTATTACCCCACCTACACCCAATCTGATTACTACTTCTGCAGGCTCTTTAATGGATAAGAGAATCAGCATGAGTATGCATACAAATGTGCATGTGGCATATCTGGCTACTAGTCTGGTTAACAGTTGTTCAAAACAAAACCATATACAGCATCCTGGAAAAAAAAAGCAGAATGCATTTTGCTGGAGACTGATGTCTGAGATTCTTCTTCAGAGTGATTAATTGCTTGACAGACACAACTAGTAAATGTCGTTAACTAGATCTTCAGGTGTGCTGAACATGCCTTGAACTCCTCTCTTGAAATGTGCCTGGTAAGAAACTGTGACCACTCTCCGGATCTGCTGGGGGTCATCTGTTTCTCTGTCAGTTTTTCAAGTGGGAGTCATATCTACTTTTTCCAAGATACTTGTTTATAGCTGAAGTAATAGTTAAAAAAAAGTGCGGTGGTATATATGTTGTATAGTAGATGTTTACAAGAGGTTATGTAGGTTCAAAAGGTTAATTACTTAATCTGACTTGGAAAAAAAAAAAAGGTTGGCTACCTCAGAATCTTCAAATATAAATTCCATCCTTTGTGGATTAGTTTCAGCGGTACTCTCTGCTTGTATCAAGTTGACCTGAAAGGAAAGTGACCAGTGGTACAAGGTACTATCCTCCTCTAGAGCCATCCTGATGCAAATACTCGTTTTGCTTGTCAAAATGAATTTTACCATGTGTAGTTTTACTGATGGAGTCCTAATGTGGCTTAGATGCATTTGCTGTACCTTGCTACAACAGACTTTCTGATGCTTGCCCTTGAACTACTTCATCAAAGGGAGTATTCTTGAGGGACAGACATAAAAGTGAAATAATGCTGTGTCCTCTGATGAGATATTAGTCTCATGCAGTGAAGAACCATTGGCAGGACTCATTTTCCTCATGAGAGTCCATAAAATAGGTTAATAAAAAATGAGTTCTTGCCCTTGTATTTTGCTAAGGTTTGAGTTTGTTCTTTGAATTGGGAGCTGTGATGGGCCAGGTTCTTTTTGGGCAGCTCCTTAGGCTGAAGAGCAGCATAGCGGAATTTTCTTTTGAATGGATGTGTATGTAAAGTATAATTTTTAACTCTTAAAGTATATGAGGAAAAAAATTCTAGCAACTTTTAACTTTTAACTTCAAGCATGAAACATTTTTGTATCTTTGCATTTATTCTGACATATTGGGCATTTGAAATAGAAGAAGAGTAGAAGACCAGTGTTGTTTTTTTAAATCCTCATTGTAGTCTGCAGTGCTCAGCCCTGAGGATGTTTTGAATCCATCTAATCTTTATGCTCTGATGATCTGTATAAATTATCAAAAGGTCAAGTATTAAAACTTATGTGAAGAAACTAAAATTTATTTTTAATTATGCCTGCTGTTACTGTATCAACTGATGTTCAGCAGCAGTTTAAGCTTCCTTTCAGTCAGTGACTCGGCTAATAGGAGTTTATTACAAGTTAAGCTGATAAGAATACTTGTTGATACAGGCAATCAGAACAATTAAATCAGGAGAAAGCAAACTAGAAAATTAGCAGTCCTGATCATTATTTTTGACTGAGCTTACCACTGGCAGACTAAAATGAGAGTAGGAAGCTTTTATCTGGGTGCTAAAGAAAAGTAGGTTCTTCGATCATAAACTGACTGAAATTGGGTATAACTTAGATTTGTAATAGACTAAGAGCCTACATCTGCATCATTTTAAATCTTCTGAGTAGTCCCATTTTCCTTCCTTATCCATGAAATTTTGCTTTGCTCTTGGCTTCTTGGAGGTTTTTTTTTCCTGTCAAGTGCATGAGGGAGATTTCAGCCAAGAAACTCAGGGTCTAATTTTCTTGTGCTAGTCAGCAGTTTTACTCTGTATCTCCAACCAAATCCAGGGATTGCAGATTTATTGGTTTGGGTTTTTTTAAATAGTGTGAGTTTTCTTGCACCAGTTGCTCTGTCCCAGTTACTCTTACCTTGATAGCCAGAAAGGAAGATGCCCAAAACTGTCTGGGTAGTGGCTGAAAACACTGTCCTAGCTTCCTAGGCTGGGAGCCTGATGAAATGGAGTGTGTTTTGTTTGTCTGTCTCTGCTGAGCTGTGTGCTACTGCGAGTCTGATGCTCAGGTGGCCAAATTTCTGCTCTGGTGATTTTGAATGTGGATTGCTGCAAATAATTTAAAAGGAAGACAGAAGTGATGTGCAGTCGTGGTAAGTCTGAAAATGCAAAAGTCTTAAGTTTAAAGTTATTATGCAGTCCATCCTTGTAAGTAGTCCCTATTAAATGTTGTGAGATTTCTCTAGTTAACATCGATGGTTTTTAGAAACACAGGATGTTTCTAAACTGGTGCACTGATGGCAGGGGGGTTTATCTGTGATAGAGGGGAAAATTGAAAAAAACTCATGCTTCTAAATGAATAGTCTGATGATGTTCTGCTCAGAGATGTCCTCAGGAACAACTGGAAAATCTGTTCACTGAAAAACCTAGAAAGATAAAGAGGGAATGCACATGGAATGCTTTTCTTCAACATTTACCTAATGTTAGTAATTTGTTACTTTTGGAAATTTGTTAGAATTTTCTTACTTTAGTTTACTGCAAAGTTAATATACCATAGCCTAGTGCCACTGGGGTGATTTTTTTTTTTCTTAAATGTCTAAATCCTATTAAATGTCAGTGAGGCTTCTCAAAGTATACAGACACCTTGAAAAATTCCTGCCTATGAATTTCAAATTTAGATTTAGCATTAAAAGAAAGCAATATAGCGCATGTAACAACCCCTTTTCGAGGCTGCACCAAAGGGAAATCAGTGCATTTCTTTCTTCCAGTGGGAAAACTCCAGCCCAGAAAACAATCAGTGGCATGCTCGTGCTGCATTGCTGCCAGAGCTGAACTCTGCACACTGTCTCTCCCTGCTCTCTCCCCCCAGGACAAGTCTTGTAAACAACCCCCAGCAAAGCGGCGCAGATACAACAGCAGTTCTGTTATCCCCAACAAACGTCCCAATAAAGTTGGCTGGCATGCTTGCGCCACTGCATGTTCTTGCCAGTCAGCTTCCCAGCTGGCGCTCAGGAAGGTTTGTTGGCACGTGTTGCAGGGTGATCTGCAGCCAGCAGAGGGGTGGGAGGCACCACGCTGCCCACGCCCAGCACAGGCCCCTTTTGGAAGGACCCACACTGCGTGTGTACCTTGCTGCATCAAATGCTCACCTAGGTATGTACCCTGCACCTTTTCCCCTCCAGGTGGATTTTGCACATCTACCACTCATCCGTGTACCAAATGCATGGTTGTATTTAAGTATTTAATTTGTTGCTCTGTGTTTCTTAAATCTTAGTGCTGTTTTTGACCAAAATCTGGTTTTCTTCTTAGGGTGTGGCTGCTCAAGTTACAATTTTAAGTTTCTTGCTTGGTATTTCTATTCAGTTAAAATTTAAGCAAACGGTTGGCTACATAGGTGTTTGCCTGTGTAGCCAAATTTTTTCTTTAAAAGAGTTATCCGTGTGTGGCTTTGGCAGGATAGGTAATTCCAGGTGCTTTGTCACCGAACCATCACTTGGGAATGTGCTTGTACACTCCTGCCTCACCTTACTACGTCCTTATATTTCTGATGTTTTGCCTCTTCCCATTTTCTGTTTGTCATCCTTTGAAATTACAGACTTCTCCCTACTTCTCTTTTTGTGTAGCTCAAAGGCTTTCAGGTATGTTAGCAATGGACTCTTGCCTGTTCTCACAGGCAGAACAGATATGAACAGTGGCCAAAACAATGGGCCACTTTATGTAAGAATGGGGTAAATGTACAACAATCCTTACCCAGAATATTCTTCCAGACCTCAGGGACTTGTTGGACCAGAGATGAAGTTTTTGGGTTTAATGGTCGCTTGTGTATTTCTCCTCTATTAATTTGCTCCTTGAGACCAAATGAACTTTAAGAACTCATAACGTCCTATCACAGGGATCCTGAAAATCCTACCTGTCGTTGAAGTATTATTTTAGCTCCTGATAGTTTTGTTCAGTGATCCCCATTTCTTGCATTGAAACTGACAACAAGCAACAGATTGCTGACTAGCTTGGTCAGGACCCTGGTGGTTTTATCTTCTGTCATATCCTTTACCAGTCATCTTTTTTCCAGGCTGGAGGGTCCTAGCTTACTTTTTTGTTTCCTCTATGGAGATTACTCCAAACTTTTCATGATCTTTACCACGTGTTTCTGAGCTTTCTCAGTTTTTATGTCCTCTTCCAGGGAGAGGAACCAGAACTGCACATGATGCTTAGGATGTGGCATTTGTGGAAGTGTGTGCTCGCTGTTCTGTCCTCCAAGTCCTCCAGTTGATGGTTTTTAATGCTACTAAATATTAAGCTGATGTTTCAGTGGAATTGCCTGTCATAAACTCATTATTATGTTCTGAGTGGCAATTGAGAACCTGTTGTTTTACATATGATGCTAACATTATTTTTCCCTACATTAATCACTTTTATCTGCATTGAGTTTCATTTGCTGTTTTATCATCCAGTTGCTCAGTCTTGTAAGGTCCTTCTGCAATTCTTTTTTTTAGTTTGACCTAAACCAGTAGCTACCAGGTTGAATTGTATCCTACCTCAGTTAGTTTTCTAGGAGTCTGCAAGTCCTTGGCCGCTCTGAAGGGACCCTGAGCTAGTTGTGTCATTATGACTAGGTCATGGGAGAGGAATTTCATGTCAAAATGCTGATGAGCAGGATGACCGAGCACCAAAGAGAGAACAGCATTTTATTTCTAATATTTAAATAATTAAATATCTGTCTACAAAATGCTCTTACAGAATGCC